GTTATTCCAGCCTGTATACCTGCTTTCCCTGCTGACCAGGTGTATTATTCCAGCCTGTATACCTGCTTTCTCTGCTGACCAGGTGTGTTATTCCAGCCTGTATACCTGCTTTCCCTGCTGACCAGGTGTATTATTCCAGCCTGTATACCTGCTTTCTCTGCTGACCAGGTGTGTTATTCCAGCCTGTATACCTGCTTTCTCTGCTGACCAGGTGTATTATTCCAGCCTGTATACCTGCTTTCTCTGCTGACCAGGTGTGTTATTCCAGCCTGTATACCTGCTTTCTCTGCTGACCAGGTGTGTTATTCCAGCCTGTATACCTGCTTTCTCTGCTGACCAGGTGTGTTATTCCAGCCTGTATACCTGCTTTCTCTGCTGACCAGGTGTATTATTCCAGCCTGTATACCTGCTTTCCCTGCTGACCAGGTGTGTTATTCCAGCCTGTATACCTGCTTTCTCTGCTGACCAGGTGTGTTATTCCAGCCTGTATACCTGCTTTCTCTGCTGACCAGGTGTATTATTCCAGCCTGTATACCTGCTTTCTCTGCTGACCAAGGGTCAGATTCACGAAAGCACTTACGCAAGCACTTACGAACGTGTACATTTTTCCTCAATCTTTGACGGCTTTGGTTACATTTATGAAACAGTTTACAAGCATGAAAACTTGCCAATCAACTGTTGTTATTGTTATAAACAGCCTCCTGGTGCTTCGGAGCTCATTAACTGTTTAATAATTGTAAACAAAGCCGCCAAAGATTGAGAAAAGATGTACACGTTCGTAAGTGCTTGCGTGAATCTGACCCCAGGTGTATTATTCCAGCCTATACACCTGCTACACCGTTGTATCTCATACTTAAGTTGTATTTCCCAACAATTAAGTTGATATTTCGACAAAGGTTGGAGTGATTAGTGACACGTTTAAAAACACAAAAAGTTGATTGAATTTGCTGGATGGACGATTCCTCCCAGACAAAATGTTATCGTTGGTTTGTGAAATATTTCCTCGAGTGCAGGTGTGGACATCAGCCCGGGAGGGAGAGTGCACACTGAGTGCCAGGATAATTCACAATTAAGGTTGCCAAGCTCATTTTGCAAGACCCGTAGTTCACAACCACACAAGTTACTCTCACACGAGACCACAGGACACCGTCACGGGACCACAGGACACCGTCACGGGACCACAGGACCCGTCACGGGACCACAGGAACCCGTCACGGGACCACAGGAACCCGTCACGGGACCACAGGACCCGTCCCGGGACCACAGGACCCGTCACGGGACCACAGGACCCGTCACGGGACCACAGGACCCGTCACGGGACCACAGGACCCGTCACGGGACCACAGGAACCCGTCACGGGACCACAGGACCCATCACGGGACCACAGGAACCCGTCACGGGACCACAGGACACCGTCACGACACCACAGGACACCGTCACGGGACCACAGGACCCGTCACGGGACCACAGGAACCCGTCACGGGACCACAGGAACACGTCACGGGACCACAGGACCCGTCACGGGACCACAGGACCCGTCACGGGACCACAGGAACCCGTCACGGGACCACAGGACCCGTCACGGGACCACAGGACACCGTCACGGGACCACAGGACCCGTCACGGGACCACAGGACCCGTCACGGGACCACAGGACACCGTCACGGGACCACAGGACACCGTCACGGGACCACAAGACACCGTCACGGGACCACAGGACCCGTCACGGGACCACAGGACACCGTCACGACACCACAGGACCCGTCACGGGACCACAGGAACCCGTCACGGGACCACAGGAACCCGTCACGGGACCACAGGAACCCGTCACGGGACCACAGGAACCCGTCACGGGACCACAGGAACCCATCACGGGACCACAGGAACCCGTCACGGGACCACAGGAACCCGTCACGGGACCACAGGAACCCGTCACGGGACCACAGGACCCGTCACGGGACCACAGGACACCGTCACGGGACCACAGGACCCGTCACGGGACCACAGGACCCGTCACGGGACCACAGGAACCCGTCACGGGACCACAGGACCCGTCCCGGGACCACAGGACCCGTCACGGGACCACAGGACCCGTCACGGGACCACAGGAACCCGTCACGGGACCACAGGACCCGTCACGGGACCACAGGACACCGTCACGGGACCACAGGACACCGTCACGGGACCACAGGACCCATCACGGGACCACAGGAACCCGTCACGGGACCACAGGACACCGTCACGACACCACAGGACCCGTCACGGGACCACAGGATTCGTCACGGGACCACAGGACCCGTCACGGGACCACAGGACCCGTCACGGGACCACAGGACCCGTCACGGGACCACAGGATTCGTCACGGGACCACAGGACCCGTCACGGGACCACAGGACCCGTCACGGGACCACAGGACCCGTCACGGGACCACAGGACCCGTCACGGGACCACAGGACCCTGTCACCTTACCAGTCCGGAAGAGTCTGGGTGACTCATTAGTGACAACACCTCACAATATCAGTCCTCAGCCTTACGAGTACTGGGGTGTTGTCGTCTTGGGTTACGTGCACACCTGTCCCCTACACCTGTCCAGCACACCTGTCACTCACAGACGCTAGTAGTCATATTACCATTTACAATACAGATTGGTCATTTATGAAAATGGTTGTCAAAATATGGTGACAAAATGCCGGCTGATTGGGGGCCCTCGACCCATAGTGGAGACGAGCAAAGAAACTAGCAGACAAGGGGCCAGATTCACGAAGCAGTTACGCAAGTACTTACGAACCTGTACATCTTTCCATAATCTTTGACGGCTTTGGTTACATTTATTAAACAGTTTACAAGCATGAAAACTTGCCAATCAACTGTTGTTATTGTTATAAACAGCCTCCTGGTGCTTCGGAGCTCATTAACTGTCTAATAATTGTAAACAAAGCCGCCAAAGATTGAGACAATATGTATAGGTTCGCAAGTGCTTGCGTAACTACTTCGTGAATCTGGCCCAATGTGCCCAAGGGGCAGGTTTGAGGGAGGGAGGGTAGGGGTAGGGTAGGTGTGCTCACCTACCCCAGGTTCACCATCACACACAGTGCGATCCCACTCCACAGCTCCCGCCTCGCGGAAGAAGACAGGTCGGCCGCAACCTTCACCGAAGCCACCTGGTACACACAGTGGCCCAGAACGCCTGGCGACATTCTTGGACTTCGCAATGTACCTCCCATTTCATATTCCAGTGACCTTGTCTCCCTCGACGCCAGTGGCTGTACCAGGTACCCAGGCCACGTTGCCAGGTAAGGGGGAGGGGGAGGGAACAAAGCATTGGTAAGGGGGTTGAATAGCCCTAAGGAGGAGGCTATTCCTCTTTAGGAATACCCTACATTAGGGCTGTGGCCCTAATGTAGGGCCACAGAGTCCGTGAGTTGACCAAGAGAGATGAACTCCATGGTGCCATTATGGGTAGGAAAGAGCCAGTGGCAGCTGGGTGCCCGCCACACTACACTAAGTGGCACTTGTTGCGTATAGTGCCTGCCTCACCCTACACCCCCTCCCTTACCCCCCTTCCCTACCTCTTACCTCTACCCTACTACTGTAGTGCTGTGTTGTTGTTGTTGTTATAGATTTAGCTATTGGGAACAAAAAGTTCCAAGTAGCACGGGCTATGGTGAGCCCGTCTGTAGTGCTGTGCCTACCTTGCTGCCATATAGTGCCACGTCTCTTCCCTCCAGAACACGGGGGAAGACATCTCCCGTCACGCAGGGTGCAGTCGCACCTCCACACATCTCCAGTATCAGCTATTGATACTGGTGATGGCTCAAAAGGGCCACCACTTATGGGCTATTCATGCCCGTGTTACCTTTTGGGTGGCTTAATCTTCACCAATCAATCAATCAATGAATCCCTCCAGAAGCAGCAAGTGCGTGGGGCCGCTGGTGCTCACGTGACTGCAGAAAAAATCTGCGAACTGTAATTTGCATATTTTATTTGTATTTTGTATTTATATATATACAAGAGCTGCGTGCATTCTTTTCCCGCAATACGACCCGCCAAATCGTTTAACAACCACGTACCCAGTTCACTGCTGAGTGAACAGAGGCTACACTTAAGGCTTGACCCCCAGTCAATCCTCCCCAGCCAGGATACGAACCCAGGCCAAAGCGCTGGCGAAGCGCCGGGCGAGTGTCTTACCACTTACGCCACGGGCCCGGCTGCGGTATAAGTTAGCGTAGTGCGGGTCTCGAACCGCAGGCGGCCCAGCGTTGGAGGGAGTCGACACCCCGACACCCCTCACCTGCACGGTGAGGAGGGGGAAGGGAAGGGGGGGGGGGTCAGGCTACCCTACCAACAGGTGCGTATATTGAAATCATGTTGCATATTGTAGGCGGTGGAGAAGAGCAAACACAGTTGCGTGAGGAGGCAGAGTTTGCGTAACCTTGACACACTTACGCCGGGGCACGCTGCTAAGGGCGTTGATCCTCTACGTAAGAGGTGAATAGTTGGAGTTGTGGTGGTTGTGGGGTAGTGGCTGTGAAGGTTGTTTTGGTGGTAGAGGGTGGTGGTGGTAGAGGGTGGTGGTAGTGGTGGTGGTGGTGGTGGTCGTCGTCATTGTGGTGTGGCTGTGAATGATAAGATGGTGGTAGCTGGAGGGTCTTGGTGGCCACTGTAGGATGGTGGTTGTGAGAATTGGAGGGTTACGAAGTGCTGGAGGTGGTAGTGGCTGATGGTCGTCGTGGTACAGGATTGAAGGGGAAAATGATAGACATAGTGGCTGTTCGGTTGTGAAGCTGGTGTGAGATTCCTGTCTTAGTTACCGCTGCACACACACACACACACACACACCTGACAACACCACGGCCACACACCTGACTGCACTCTGGACATGTGTGTTGTGTATTATCTCACCAGCAAGACACCTAAACTACTACTAGAACAGTATATTTAAATTCCATCTGAATCGCAAACACGAGATGTTTCTATGATAAAATATTGAAGCCGTACAATAGAACAGAACCCCAAAGAGAAGCACCACTAAGGAGACCAAGAGAACAGGGGCAGAAGTGACGTACTCACCATTGAAATTGAAATAAGTTTATTGAGGTAAAATACACACAAAGGGATGAGGTAGCTCAAGCTATTCTCACCCCGTTCAGTACATCGTGTTAATATATACATATACACACATTACAAGCAATAAACGTATTACCGAACATTCTGGCGTACTCACCAGCGAAGGGAACGTCGCTCTTGATCTCCTCAATGTGGTCTGTGGAGAGACTCTTGTCTGAGAGTGAGGCGGACACGGATGAGAGTGAAGCAGATGACCCGCCACAGGGATCCACAGCTAACACCTCCTCAGGCTCCGTCTCCGTCTCTATGTCCCTGCACGGCCGCTTTTCCTGCTGGGAATACATAGGTGTTTGCGTTAATAGTGGCTTCAGGCATTGTATGTACTAGCTCTAATCTAGAAGTTCATCAAAATCTGTATCACCCCTTGTATGTACTTTACCTAAATAAACATTTGATTTAATTCTCCTCTGGGAGGAGGAGGCCACGGTAGGTAAGGGCTATGTTAATGTGGGGAACTCAAAAGGTATCGTGTTTATTAGGGATCTTAAGGTTAACAAATTACGTCAAATGTAAAGTGATTTGGCCATGTTAAGTCTGTCGATTATTACCGTGTTGTCCGTCTGGGTATCTGTGGCTGTGGTAGAAATTGTTATTTTTTTTATTAAGCCATTCCTACAGGCCACAGATATCGTGACCAACGGCGCCAAAAAAAATAGATATAGATAGATATTGCTGTATCGATCGATACAGCAAATTTAGGAGATTATACATAGCATAATCACTTGATACCAAACACACTTTATTGTTAACAGCCAACTTAAACTGGCTGTTGATAATAGTTAAACGTTACCATTTATAAGACTAAGACACAACGTTGTTGACCAGACCACACACTAGAGAGTGAAGGGACGACGACGTTGTTTCGGTCCGTCCTGGACCATTCTCAAGTTGATTGGACATGAAGACATAGAAGGAATTAGCTGGAAACAAGAAATCGTGCAAGACATCTCCATCCATACACTTTCAAGAGCGGGTACGTCAAAGGACTCGAACCTTTGAACTCGAACCCAAGAATGTTACAAAAAGCGCGCCACAGGTAAGAGAAGGGGTAGTTACTGTCAGGGTGGTGTACCCTCCTGTCCACACTACCACCCCTCACTCTCTCCACAACCACAGCAACCACCCCTCACTCTCTCCACAACCACAACAACCCCCCTCACTCTCTCCACAACCACAGCAACCACCCCTCACTCTCTCCACAACCACAACCCCCACCCTCACTCTCTCCACAACAACCACCCTCACTCTCTCCACAACCACAACAACCACCCCTCACTCTCTCCACAACCACAACAACCACCCCTCACTCTCCACAACCACAACAACCACCCCTCACTCTCTCCACAACCACAGCAACCCCCCCCCCCCTCACTCTCTCCACAACAACCACCCCTCACTCTCTCCACAACCACAACAACCACCCCTCACTCTCCACAACCACAACAACCACCCCTCACTCTCTCCACAACCACAACAACCACCCCTCACTCTCTCCACAACCACAACAACCACCCTCACTCTCTCCACAACCACAGCAACCACCCTCACTCTCTCCACAACCACAACAACCACCCTCACTCTCTCCACAACCACAACAACCACCCCTCACACTCTCCACAACCACAACAACCACCCCTCACACTCTCTCCACAACAACCACCCCTCACTCTCTCCACAACCACAGCAACCCCCCCCCTCACTCTCTCCACAACCACAACAACCACCCCTCACTCTCTCCACAACCACAACAACCACCCTCACTCTCTCCACAACCACAACAACCACCCTCACTCTCTCCACAACCACAACAACCACCCTCACTCTCTCCACAACCACAACAACCACCCCTCACTCTCTCCACAACCACAACAACCACCCTCACTCTCTCCACAACCACAACAACCACCCTCACTCTCTCCACAACCACAGCAACCACCCCTCACTCTCTCCACAACCACAACCCCCACTCTCACTCTCCCCACAACCACAGCAACCCCCCCTCACTCTCTCCACAACCACAGCAACCACCCCTCACTCTCTCCACAACCACAGCAACCCCCACTCTCACTCTCCCCACAACCACAACAACCACCCCTCACTCTCTCCACAACCACAGCAACCACCCCTCACTCTCTCCACAACCACAGCAACCACTCCTCACTCTCTCCACAACCACAACCCCCACTCTCACTCTCCCCACAACCACAGCAACCACCCCTCACTCTCTCCACAACCACAACAACCACCCCCTCACTCTCTCCACAACCACAACAACCACCCCTCACTCTCTCCACAACCACAACCCCCACTCTCACTCTCCCCACAACCACAGCAACCCCCCCTCACTCTCTCCACAACCACAACAACCACCCCTCACTCTCTCCACAACCACAGCAACCCCCCCCCTCACTCTCCCACAACCACAACAACCACCCCTCACTCTCTCCACAACCACAGCAACCACCCCTCACTCTCTCCACAACCACAGCAACCCCCCCCCTCACTCTCCCACAACCACAACAACCACCCCTCACTCTCTCCACAACCACAGCAACCACCCCTCACTCTCTCCCCAACCACAGCAACCACCCTCACTCTCTCCCCAACCACAGCAACCACCCCTCACTCTCTCCACAACCACAACCACCACCCTCACTCTCTCCACAACCACAGCAACCACCCTCACTCTCTCCACAACCACAGCAACCACCCCTCACACTCTCCACAACCACAGCAACCACCCTCACTCTCTCCACAACCACAACAACCACCCCTCACTCTCTCCACAACCCCCACCCTCACTCTCTCCCCAACCACAGCAACCACCCCTCACTCTCCCCACAACCACAACAACCACCCTCACTCTCTCCACAACCACAACCCCCACCCTCACTCTCTCCACAACCACAACCCCCACCCTCACTCTCTCCACAACCACAACAACCACCCCACACTCTCTCCCACAACCAGGAGAGGGGCGAAAGGCAGCCAGGGGGAAGGAGACACAGGCCAAGAGGATGGCAGCCAGGCAGGCAGCTGAAGCCACGTGACCTGCCATACAAGCAGGCATTAAGCTGCCACCTGTCTCGCCCTGCTAGCGGAAGAGGGGCTTCATGCGTAGCCTGGATGTGGCGCAGTGAAGGGGGGGGGAGGGTGCGTGGCACTGCGCCACAGTCAGGGAAGGAGCCAAGGCTTATTTTTACAAAGAAAAGGATGGAGAAGGTTAGGAAAGATATTTGGTGCCTATAGGATAAAGGTAATTATGTTTTTCTTGATTATTTTCTACCCCAGACGTGGCTACACATTTACAATGCTAACCAGCTTACATACATTTGGTTGAACAATCAACCACCGAAGGTGATTTGTAGTGAGTTGACCAGACCACACACTAGAAGATGAAGGGACGACGACGTTTCGGTCCGTCCTGGACCATTCTCAAGTCGATTGTGAGACTTGAAAATGGTCCAGGACGGACCGAAACGTCGTCGTCCCTTCACCTTCTAGTGTGTGGTCTGGTCAACTTACTTTAGCCACGTTATTGTGACTCATCACCTGAATGTGATTGTAGTGATTTTGAAGTTTTTATCTAACCTACTTACATACATACGTACATTGACGTCTGTGGTACATACACAGCGTTCAAGGTACGTTCTTTAATATGATTAATGCGCGTTTACAAAGGTGAAATGCAATTCTAACTAGCTTACACACTCACACCTGAACTACAGAGGGGTGATTAAGGTGCTCTTACAAGCTCACGTCGTAGTTACATCACATAACTAAAGCATTACACAGTCAATCTTGGGTACAAGTTCTGTATCTATAAGTTATCTTAAGATGATTTCAGGGGGTTAGCGTCCCCGCGGCCCGGTCCTAAACCAGTATATCAGCAAGTGTTCCAGTATTCACACAGTACTTACAGAACTGTGTGTGGGGGGGGGAGGTCTCCCTAACAAGGGGTTAATAACCTTGTATGACCGATACTTAACCCAAGCAACCATATTCCCTACATCCTACTACGGTGACAGGTGGAAGGTGTCATAAGATCTGAAGACACGTTGAGAGTTACTGGGACGAGCCACTCATCTATCTACTCAACGGCCAGGGATAACGACTTGAGTGACACATGACAAATGGTGCCACAAGGCGGGTTTTCCCAGAGATAGGCGACGGCTCCTGCGCCACCTGAGGCGCGGCGCCCGCCATGTTCCCGCCAAGACGAAGACACCATCGCTCACAGCCCGCCAAAAGGTACAACCGCTTATTATCATCACTTCTGGGCGGGAAGGATTACCCTCCTTCCCCTCTAAGGCCATTAAAGAACTCAAGGGAACATAGCAGATGCCAACACCAACAGCAGCAGAGATCAGCAGCAGAGTGCGATGATGGTAAGCCCCGCTGATGGAGACGTTTCAGGGCAGCAGAGGACCGGTTTTCAGGACCAGAGGACCGGTTTTCAGGACCAGAGGACCGGTTTTCAGGACCAGAGGACCGGTTTTCAGGACCAGAGGACGGGACATCAACGTACGAGAGCAGTTCAAAACCTGCACCGGCATTACGAGAAGACACTTAAGGCTATTACCAGATATACGAGAGATGACCTCTGAAGACAACATGAGACATGATCACTGTGTACAAGATACTGAGAGGATAGAGAAGTGGACAAAGACAGTCTTTTCCAAGAGAGAGACAAGAGAACAAGGGGGAAAAAGGTAGAAGATGGAAACCAGAAACGAGTTAAGAGATATGTAAGAGAATAGTTATCCGTCGAGGAATGAGCTTCAACCAGAGGTGCTTGAAGCACAACTGTGCACAGTTTCCAGAACAAGTGTAACAGTTGTGCAATGTAAGGAGGTAAAAATGCACCAGGAACACTAGCCAAGAGGCGGAGCTCAACAGGTAGATCTCACCCCCCACAACACACACACACACACACACACACACACACACACACACACACACACACACACACACACACACAGAACCAGTCATGCATCACCGGAAATCCACTTATCATTCGTTTATTTATCAAAGGTAAACAGCGGTCCACACAGTGCTCGTCAGGTATCAAATACCCACCACAATACACCTAGTAATTGACCCCCCCCACCCACACACACCCCCCCCCCCACCCACACACACACCCCCCCCCACGCACACACACACACACCCCCACCCACACACACACCCCCCCCCCCACCCACACACACACACACACACACACACACACACACACACACCACACATTGAGTGTGGAGGTGGGAGGGGGGGC